GTGTCCAAATATAAACATTTTTTCTTAGAATTATCCTAATAGCTCTTATGAAAATTAAAAGAGAACTCCGTAAGTCAAAAAATGATAACAAAAAAAAAATTAAAAAAACTACTTTGTTGTCCCCCAACTCCCAATAAAGGAGTCTAAAGGTTAAGTTAGTAGTGTACAACCCCACGGTTGTTGATTACTGTCCTATATTTGTAAAGCAAACTTTTGATCAGATGGTTAATGTATTTTGTTCCACTCCATTGAAAGATCCTCAGAGCTTTCCCAGCGACCCAACAGTTTGTTGTAAAATGAGTCTGCTTAATATGTCCCTTACATGCTCAATTGGGTTTAAATCTGGCGATTGTGCAGACCATAGTAGAACCTTAATTTCATTATCTTCAAGGAATGTTTGTACGACCTTGGCCGTATGAAGACGTGCATTGTCGTGCATTTATTGAAATTGGGGACAAACTTTTTGTGCAAAGGGTATAACAATAGCTTTAAACAGTAGTCTGTTGCATTTAGAAACCATTCCAGACAAATGAGATTGGTTCTTCCACCAAGAGTGATACCACATCATTCCATTATACCGCTGCCTTGCTGTCTATGAACCTCCTGCACGGTGGCCAATCGTTCAGCACTGCTAGATCGTCTCAAAATTCTTGTCCGTCTTGTATCTGGTGCAAATCCAAATCAGCACTAATATCTGAACAAATTAGAGGCCCACTGACGTCTAACCCAATTTGCGTGTTCTTGTTCCCACTGAAGTCGATGAACTCAATTTCTTCTGGATAACACAGACACTCCCACAGGTCTTCAAGTATTTAACTTTAATTTATGCTTGTTTAGTTCTAATAGTTTCGCTACTTACAAATACATGCTGGGTCTCTTGCAGCCTCATTGTTATTGTGATGCAGTTACAGTGCGATTTCGCAAAGCCTACGACCTAATAAAACTATCTTCAATCTGGTTTGTTATCCTTGTGCAGCCTGTATGACGTTCAGATCACTAGTTTCTTAACATCTTAACCACAAACTTCTCACCTCTTCTCTCTTTGACTTCTGCCAGTTTAAAGCATTCCGATAGCCAGGCACTGCATTTCGCGATTTAAATAATGTCTCTTCAGGTCTCTCCATGTTCCAATGATTATTGGAAATTGCAAAACTAAATAAAAATCAACATTGATATTGAAAATCAAGTAACGATAAAGAATTATTGCTTTTTATCTTATTGACAAAAAACGCATATTAAAGTTTTGTTAAAATTTTTATAGCCATTCAAATTAACATTACCGTCCAAATTGGTACAATAATCGACAAAACAACAAAAAATATTAAACACACAAAATTTATTTTGGTATTTGCATTGATTTAAAGCTATTTATAGGTGTCCCATAGAATATTTTGTGTGTATGATGTGCTTAACATAGAAAGATAAGGAAAATTAAGGACTTTTGAGTGGAAAATAAGAAGAATTAAAGTGCGAATAAATATACATACCAGTAAATTAATGAAGGCAATCAATCAATAAAGAAAAAGTATTGTAATAAACGATAAAAAAAGCAAAATGTTGGTGTAAATACCGAATAACAGAGATAAAGCAAAAAATTCCAAACAAAACTTTATCATATAACCCCCTCTATTGCTCAGTGTTAAGAGCGCCTACTTTTGAACCTAAAGGTCGTGAGTTCAAATCTCACCTGGGTGGAGAAATTTCCGTTTATTAAAAATTAATGAATGAAGATAATTTCTATCCTTGTGTGATCGGTACTCACCGGAGGGACCGCAGACGTTCGGATACAATTAGCGTCTCTTAACAAAGACAATGACATCGACTTTGCTAAGTATCAAGACAATTACTCCACACACACACACACACACACACACACACACACACACACACACACACACACACACACACACACACACACACACACACACACTACACTAGGTACCTGAATGTAAAAAATCACTGTACCATGCCAATGACCATTAGTTGTCGACGCATTCTATCTATCTAATTAGCCTTCTTCGGTCCATCTTTGGACATAGGCCTCCCCAATCCTTTTCCATTCTTCTCTGTCTGTCGCTACAGTCATCCATCTAGAGACCACGTGCTTCTTGATATCATCTGCCCATCTCATTTGGGGCCTCTCTCTGCTTCGTTTATATTCCCACGGTCTCCAACTTATAAGAATTTTGTTTCATCGGTCTTCTTTTTGTCTTATATTGTGTCCGGCAAATCTTCATTTCAATTTTGCAACTTCTTGTCTAACATCCCTCACTTTTGTTTTCTCTCTTATCCACTCGTTTCTCTTCTTATCCATTAGTCTTATGATACATTTGTCTTTCCATTGCTCTTTGTGTTTTTATGATTTTGTCCAGCTTTTGTAGATGTCCACGTTTGGGAACCATAAGTAAGAACAGGGAGTACGCATTGATTATATACTTTGGTCTTAAGATGCTGTGTATATCTTTTGTTTTTAAGAATGTAGCTTAGTTTGCCAAATGCCGCCCATGCCAGTCTAACTCGTCTCTTGATCTCTGCTGTTTGGTTCTCTTTGTTAAGTTTTATAGTTTGACCAAGATATATATATATATATATATATATATATATATATATATATAATTCTTAACTTGTTCTATTTCATCTTGTCGGATTCTCATTGTGATGTCTTCATCTGTATTTGTTATAGTTTTGGTCTTGCTGTAATTCATATTAAGGCCTATCTTTCCAGCTTCTACGTCCAGTTATTTCATCATTTCAAATAATTCTTCTTTTTTATCGGTTATCAATACGATGTCATCAGCGTACCTTAGATAGTTCAAGCGTTGTCCACAAACTTTTATACCTTTTTTCCCCATTCTAATCTTTTAAAAGTATCTTCAAGAGCCTCATTGAAAAGTTTCGGTGATATTGTATCACCCTGTCTCACGCCTCTACTTATTTGTAATGATTTTGTTCCTTCATATACTTTAATTGTTGTTTTGGCTTATATATATATATATATATATATATATATATATATATATATATATATATATATATATATATATATATATATTGGTTATTAGTTCATTAAACTCAATAAAAAAAACTTTATCATAGACTTTAACATAGACTATAATATTAAGGTAGTAAATCCGTTTACCTATCTGGATTCACTCACAATCGATAATGACACATCTGAAGAAGTAAAACGAAGGGTACTGATTTTATTTATGTAAATAAAAAAAAATAAATTTAAATAAAAAAACCAAAAAATCAATTTAACAATATATAGAATGCCAATCCTAGCAGTCAATGCTGATGTATGAGTCAGAAACGTGGACACACAATCTATGAAAATGGTATTTGTAGAAGGCGACATAATTTCGAACTGTACGAGAAGTATAAAGAAATAGTTACTGGGATGATATAATATATTTCATAAAAATAAGTCAAATGAAAATTACCCACCCTGATGAACCCTATTAGCGGCACCAGTTGAAAATATTAGTAGAGATAGACCAAGACTGTGATAGAGGGCTCAGTGGCTGTAGCACCACTGATGATAATGGTAAAGTTTTCAGCCTCATACCTTTTTGATTTTCGATTTGCGATTCGCTGTAATTCTCTATTATCCAAAATCGCGATTACTCGGAAATTTTGTGAAATCAGGTATTCTGTTATACTGGAGCATTTAACACTTCCTTATTTTTTAAGGACGTTCATTTTTTCTAGATATTTTAAGTCTCCTCATTGTTTTAACCCTTTTTCTGTTCCATGAAATGCAAAATAAGCCATTTTTAAAGTATTTTTAACAGGACTGCCTGAATAGGATTTTGACTGCTAAACACTTTTGTTTAGTTATACGTCCAAGTTTTAGATTTCCTTAAGAATCTGATATTCGCTAAATATTTTAACCCTTAAACGGTAGCGTGCAGTCTGTGAGACTGTTTAGATTTAAAATTTTTCCGTATCTTGATAACGTTACGCTCCTTAAGACGTGACTTTATCTATTTCTCGAGGGATTGAATACTTACTAATTACCTTATTTTTCCCATTATTCTGTGAGGTATTCTTAAACTACAAATATAATTGGTTTTAATTAAGTCTGTGAGACTGCACCATTCCAATTGTGTTAAAAAATATTTTTCGTCTCCTGGCTATGTCTGTGCTTAACTCATATATTTTACATTTATATTTTAAACTCAATAAAATAAGATATGTGTTTAATAAAAACTAAACAGTATAATTGGTTCGTGAATATTTGAAGCGACTTTTGTCAAAAACACATATACCTTGCGAGTTTCAGGTGACAATCGCTTGAATTTTTGGTAAATAAAAAGCAAATAGAGTAAGCCAAAATGTTAATTAATTTGATTAAGTTAATTTGGTGTTAAACAAATGCAAATCATATGTTTTATGAAATATTTATGTGCCTAATATGATCAACCAGTCTATCTGCAATACTCCAAACTTACATGTTCTTGAATAAATAATATATAAGTTTAGGGATTTAGCGTTTGCGTTATAAGTTTGCTGCTTTTGTCCTTTCATTAATTTTTGTTTTGTGTTTTAAGGTATGTTATTTACTTCATTGCAAAGGTAATTGGGTAAAAACATAATCTTTTCAATATTAGACACAATGTCGATATATTGTTAGTACGCATCTAATTAATAATATAAATAAAAAATATTTCGTGTATAATTTCGTTTCTTGGCTTTCTACATCTGACAGTCAGACAGACTGTACCTTACCGTTTGGGTAACATTTGTCACCTTACCCATTAAAGGTATTAAATTTAATTAAAGAAACAAGTTAGAGTTTTTTTTTAATGAAAATCGCACACTATAGTGTAAGTAGATCACAATCTACGTATATACACTATACCGAAATACACTAAATAACCCTTTAAATTTTGAATAATTTAATCCTAAAATAGTATTAAAAAAAGCACTTCTTGAAATATACCACAAATATTTTTTAATACAACACATAAACTAAAACTTGTTAAACATTGTTATACCTCTTACTAAATGTACAGTCCTAACAACCACAACACGAAAATAATTAAAAAATTACTATTTACGAACAACGTTTCAAATAATAAATCTATTTCTAAATAGTTCTCACGGATTCTTTACCTTGACAACGACTAACGGTTGTTGAAAATCAGCTCCTCCCACCACTCTAAACCCCCAATTAGAGGTTGGATCTGTTTTGGAGAATTTCAGATCTATTGCCATCTGAAAACAAGGCCACGTTTATACGTTTACACTGACTGAAAATTAAGTACTGAAATCTGGAGGTACCTCACAGCTGAAATCTATTTCGGAATAGGAATCCAGTATTCCACTGGCCCTTTAAATCATCGTGCAATTTGTGTAATAAAAAAGCACAAATAATAGTGCTCAAAAATATCTTTCTAATAGTTGTGTTTCTTTTAGAAATGCATTTTTTATGAACTATAATAGTTTTCTACAGAGTGGCATAAAGAACAACTGCAAAAAACAATATGGGTTGGAATTTTTTCATCTTTATGTTGATGAGAATGGTATTCGTTTTAAATATTTAATCAAATAAGAAGGTAATACGTAGTTAAAATAGATTTAAAATAAATTTAGACAAATTATCTTCGTACACCTGACCTCACTGTCATTTCTTTCAGCTTCGTCCCACGTGCCTTTGTCCTAGAGGTGAATTAGGACAAGCGATTCTCGCCTCTTTCTATCTACCATTATGTTAATATGTACATCTTACTCATTCTTTTATTTGATTACCGAGTTGTTGATATTCTAGACCTTCTGTCTGTCCCCCATCGGATTCATTTCCACGTGATTGATAGAGGAACTCCCTAACTTGTCCTAGGAACGAAGGTAGAATTAGACAATTTTTATAATCATAATATAATAACTGTTAACTGTATTGACATATTCGTATGACATAACCAAACATATACAAATTGTGGAGTGAACCTATAATAAAGGGGGAGATAGTAACCCTATCAATGAAAATGTAGATCCAATAATAGAATCTGATTATCCTGATAATCAACTGGTACCTTTCAATTCAAAATTTCTACATTTTTTATTTCTTTTGTATTTTTATGTTCAAAATAACGTGGGAGACTATAATATACTTTAGTATAGGATCACACCACAATGTTTATATGTTTTGTTACGTCATAAAAATAATAAATAATGTCAATACAGTAAACAGCTGTCATATTATGATTATAAAAATCGTCCAATTATTTTATCGAAAGATATAATAATGAGTAAGTTTTTAATAGACTTAATAAATTTGATCAATTATTCTATTGAGCTCTGAAGCAGTTAAAAAGAATCGATGCATTCGATATGTTCCTTAAGGTGGGCCGAAAAAACATTTTTTTTATCTCGAAGTTGTTATAGCGCGGTAAAGATATAAATTCAAATATTACAACTTCGAAATAAAAAATAGTTTTTTTTCGGCTGATCCTAATGTTCTTTGATGTATTGATATACGTTGGATAATATTCTTCGTCTATGGATACATGCTTTGAATAGATCCAATCTACAAAAATAACGTGAATCTTTTAACCTGCTTAATATCTCTAGAACTGTGAACTGTATTGACATATTCATATGGCATAACAAAACATATAAACATGATCCTATAATAAACGAGGGTATTATAGGAGGGTAGTAGAAAATAAAATATCATCTGCACACCAAAACAGACTAAGGTATAGCAATAGTAAGAGAGTTTATATATCTTTAGGTTGGCGGTTGGGCATCAGGAACACCTTCATCCCGTAAAAAATATTGTTACAAAAAAAAAGATACATAAGATGACGTAGACATCATCCAGTAGACTCCTATAGAACCAAATCGACCATAATATTATTAATGGTAGCTACTTTTCTGGTCTCCATCAGTAGTTATAGAGGCGCCATCTCGAATTTAGACCACTATTTAGTAAAAATTAAACTAAGCACAGTAAAATCATATACAAAGAATATTAAAGCGACGAAACACAGGACAAACCTAAAGATAATCAAATGATAATCAGCAGAACAATGGTCTCGTAACCACCATGGCTACAAAGAGCGGTATCTCATAATAAACCCAGAATTTAAAAAATCGAATAATTTTTACTGTATTTAATGGAATTAACTCAAATTTAAATGCCACATGAACATAGTTTCTAAACAATATCAAGAAATCTTAAAATATAAAGCAAATTAGATGTTTGAAAAGAAACAGTTGATAAAAAAACTATTTTGTTCAATTCTGTAAGTAAGAAAGTTATAAAAGAAAAATTATCTTCGCGCTACAACCTTCGTCAACTGTTGAATTTTATAAGAAGCTTGGAAGAGATAAAAAATATAATCATAAGAGAAATAAAAGGAAGCTTGACACTAAAATGCTTGAAAAACTGGAACCCCCGAGAAATTAAAACCAGACAACAAACAAAGATTGATACTCCAGTAAAGTGAAATTCAATTTATACAGGGACAAGGAAGATAATATAATAGATAATAAGTAGAAACCACTTAAGAGACGGACGAAACATTTCAAAGCTGTGCGTGCACTGATAATGATAATGCTTTGATGATGATGCATTAATGAAATTAAATTTTAAAAAAGACGTTCAGGCTTGTTGACTACATATTCAGAAACATGGGACAATACTTTAGGATTGATAACTATTATTTTACAGTGGTACAACAGTTTTCTTACCTGAGAAATGACAATCTCATCTCAGAAAACTAAAACAATAGTAGTCAGCAAAAAACCAACCAGATGTAAAATAGAAATTGATGGCATCAGTATTGAACAACTAATGGAAATAAAATACCTGGAAATTATACTGTCTAGCTATGGAGACCTGGATAAGGAAGTGAGAGATCAAGTACAAAAAGCAAATAGACTGACAGGATGCCCTAATAACACTAGTTTTCACTAGTTTGCTACTAACTTGCAACTAAGAAAACTATACGAAGGGGTAGATCAAAGTTAAACGGATCATGTGAATAAGGCTACCAGGAAAATTAATTTTTCTACCTTCTCTGTTTATTATCATCTAATGATTATAAAATATGTTATTTCCAGATGTATTGGCTGTTATTTTTTTATTGTTTCTGTATTATATACCACGGTAGGTCCAATAGCTGTCTTGTAGCTATATGATTTAAGGCTGTTTTAGTTTAGCAGTTCAAGCACACTGCGATTTGAAATGGGCGTATCACTTACATTTCTACACTGCTCACGCGAGACTATCTTTACTCAGTGGCGTCGGCCAATGGGAAACAAATGCATTACTCTCCATTCAAATTAGTTTTAACACGAACTAACTGACCGTACGCTCATGAGACTTGAAGTCACGAAGGCGATAACGCTGAACCTATGCAACAATGATGAGTAACACGTTTCACTATTATATTTTAGTATTTTTTAGCTCTTCACTCCCCAACCCGCATGGCAAGCGTGGTGATTTATTTGCCATATCCCCTCAAATAATGTCAAGACTTAAAACTTCATTACCCCAGGTGAGTAGGATGAATCCAGAATCTCACACTGATTTATCAGTCTGTCCCAAGGATTCTGGGGGGAACAAAACCTTGACTCATAAATTATTTAAGATGAATGTCGCAACGTACAATGCTCGAACGCTACTGTCAGAGGCCAAGATCACTGAAATGGAGCTGGAGATGGAAAAGATCAGCTGGGACGTAATTGGGCTCTGCGAGGTAAGAAGACATGGCAAACACCTACAGACATTAAAATCTGGCCATATATTCTACCATTTCGGTGAAAAGAACAAATCAGTGGAAGGTGCAGGTTTCCTCATAAATAAACAGCTGTACAGTAGAATCCATACAATACATGTTATATCCACGAGAGTAATATACGTCATTCTAAAGTTGAACGACAGATATAACATCAAAATAATACAGACTTATGCGCCAACCACAGACCATAGCGAAGAGGAAATAGACATTTTATATGACGAAATAACACAAGCACTGAAAGAAAATCACACACAATCATATGTGGTGATATGAACGCAAAAATTGGCATGAAATCCGATCCATCAGAATTTGTACTTGGAAACTTCGGCAGCGATGGAAGAAATAAACGCGGACAAACTTTATTAAACTATCTCCTTCAGAACAAATTATATCAAATGAATAGCTTCTTTTACAAAAAAACAACATAGAAGGTGGACATGGAGAAGCCCGGACGGGAGAACGCAAAATGAAATTGACTATATAATAACAGATAAAAAATTTATAGTTAAAGATGTCACTGTACTCAACAGCTTCACAACAGGAAGTGATCACAGAATGGTCCGCGCTAGAATAGAAATTAACATCGATAAAGAGAGAAATAAACTAATAAGAAAGAAAAAATTGAAAGCATGGTCACAACCAAAAAATGAAACAGAGTTTGCAGATCAAATAACGGTACGTCTACAAAACAGGCCCCCCACAAATGATATAAATCAGCTAAATAAAGTAATTACTAATACCATAGCAGAAGCTCAAAGAAAATGTTGTACAGGTAGCAAGAGAGAGGAGAGAATCACTGCTAACACCAAACTTAAAATGGAAGAAAGAAGAGAAATGCTAAAAGATAAGAGTATAGAACAACAAAGCATAAATAAAATCAACAAAGAGGTCTCAAAAGCAATTAGAAAGGACATAAGGGCATATAAAAATGAGAAAATCTCGCAGACAATCGAGCACAACAAGAGCATGAAGATATTAAGAAGGAAATTGACGAACAGCAGAAAAGAAATCATCAGACTTAAGGGAAAGAATGGCAAACTAACGTCCAACAGAGACGAAATGCTAGAGATAGTAGAAGACTTCTATAAAACACTATACACAAATAAATTGGACTTAAACCCGACAGAACATACAGAACAAAAAATTATGAATCAAGGTTCAGAAGATATTCCCGACATATCAACGGCTGAAATTTACCATGCTCTAAAGAAAATGAAAAAAAAAAACAAAGCACCAGGAGAAGATGGAGTAGTGGCGGATGCGCTAAAAATCGGAGGCTCTGCTCTCATCAGGACAATCAAGCAGCTCTTCAATATATGCTTAGAAAACCAAGCAATACCAGCTGAATGGAATAATTCTATAACGCTCCTCATGCAT